CATATTCCAGCAAATTTAATGAAGATACTTATAAATATTAAATAAAATATATATATTACTTTCAAATATTAATTAAGGCTGGCCATGATTAAAATCTAGTTTTATAATAAAGATCGCTCTATAATGATCAGTCATTACTTGAATTCCTAAAAATAAAAATAAGGCTTCAGATCATTAGCATACTGGCTGCTTAAATTTCTGAATGTTAATAAATTAACATCGATATTTGCCGATCCTAAAAATCCACTATTCATTTATCCACCAAGTTTCTAATCCACATGATTCGTAATTTTGCGCGTGATTTAATGAAGAAAAAGAAGAAAAAGAAAACCATAATTATAAAAAGAGTTTTTTTAATTACCATCCTCGATGATTTTTTAAATACCATCCTATTGGTGCACATTATATAAATCATGTTTTTTAAGCAATATGTACTCGTTATATATTTATTTAATTTACAAACATAAATAATATTTAAAGAACATACATAAAATATATTATATAACTACAATAAATATTACAGTTTAAACATTCTGTTTATTTTGACAGTGTAAATAAGTATGCCCATTTTCTTTGCAAATTTTGCATGGCGCAGTACAACTTCTTGCATTATGTCCATTCGTAGAACAATTTCGACATGTATAAGCATCTCCAGAACGAACATTGGTAATTATTTGTTTACTATTAGATTTCTTTGAGTTATTTTCAACACATGACTTCAATCTTTTAGCAGGTCTTCCTTTTGCACTTGCTTGTGATGGATTTGAACTATTTCTTTGAGATCGATTATCGCTTGTGTTATTAATATTTGATTGCACTACTTGTTCAATTAAACCCCCGCAAAGTAGCTGAAACATGTGTTAAATTAAATTTAGCAGCTAATGTTGCTAACTTTCGACCTAATGCATGCACATTCACCATAAATTTGTCATTTCATAATTGAATGATCAATTTCAGGATCTTGGTTTAAACATTCTTGTCTTAGATTCTGAATCTCATAAATAGAATTTAGAGCAGAATTTTCAGTTGCAGTATTAGTCTCTTGATGATATATTCTATATGGTATTAATATTTTGTATGTTAATATCTTATACCACCGATTCTTTATCAAAGTAATGGCAAATTTTGCAGTTTGTATTCGTAACATCACTTGAAAAAAATGACGGCAAACCAGACCTTCACTAATTAAAAGCAAACATGTGCAAATATGTGAATAGTCATGACATAATGCCACATAGTTGGTTGAAGATGTATTTGTTGCCATATGTTTAACTTCCCAAATTTCCAGAATATTAGTAATATTAACATGGTTGATGAGAGATTTAAGTGCAACTTGTGATTTATCTATAGAATCCTCAATACAAGCTGAGGTATCAAACTCATCAATCTTTAAGAAAAATTAATGATTAGTACTAAACAACTAATTCTTGTACATATGTTAACAAATAAAATTAACTTACATTATCACAATCACCATATTGTTCAAAAGGAATTATTTTTGAATAATATTCAAAACATACATCAATTTGAGCCTTTTGAAAATGGAATACTTCATCTGTTAAAAACTCTTTCAAACTTTCCACTAATTTAGGAAATACACGAACTGCTGATGAAGAAGCAATGCTAAAAGGTAAATCAGACAAGTAATCCCGATATTCTGCTTTTGAAGTTCAGAGGAGAGCATATTTTGTATAACATTAAAGCATTCCAATAGTGATGAATGAGAATTAACATATTTGTGAACGATAGCATTTATTGATTCCACTCTTTGAGTTGATGACATACCTGCGTTAAATTCCTAAGTAAAAAAATATGTAAAGTATTAATAAATATCAATCTAAACCACTACGAATTCAATTTTTTAATACTAACTCTATCTAACATCATTCCAAGCACCAATTTTTAATTTCTAACCCACCCATCCTTACCCTAACCCTAACATAATCTCAATGCCAACGTTTTTTAACCTAACCCACTTAGCCTTACCCTAACCCTAACACGATCTCAATGTCAACATTTTTTAACCTAACCCACCTATACTTACCCTAACCCTAATGTCAACATTGTTTAACCTAACCCGCCTATCCTTACCCTAACCCTAATAAATCTCAATGTCAATGCCTAATTTGATGTCACTCTAAAACCTGATTTTCTTATTCTAACCCATTTTTTAACCCTAATCCAGAGCACTCATCCTCAACTATCTTAACTAATCTAATTCCAAACTAACTTTTTTAACTAATATACCTGAAATGTAAAGCATTTAGCCCATTTGTACTTAATTAAATATAATCTTGTTTTAAAATATAATGAAGCATTTGGAAAATTCACACATAATGCTTCAAATCGTGCTTCAAAGATTGTTTCATATAGAGTATTGCGACAAGAAAAAAATTATGTTTGAAATTTAGTAAATTCAGAACCAAGTGGTCGCATAAGATGCTTCTTAATATTTTGAACTATGTGAAAAATGCAGTGTAAATATCGAGTAAATGGAAAAATGGTTTCAATTGCTGGTCCCAATCCAGTATCACAATCAGAGTAAATTGTTAATGGTTGTATATTATTCACTGCTTCCAAAAGATTTTTAAGAACCCATATATACGATGTTGTTGTTTCGTCAGATATTAATGCTTGAGCAATTAATCTTGATCGATGATGTGCATCAACTCCTACAAACAAACATAATGACATCCGATATTTATTAGTCCGAGCTGTATAATCTGTTAATACAACATCATGATGTTTTAAATAAAAATTTTGTTAGTGTGGAGTCATCCAAAACAAATGATACATTCGATTCTTAACACAATGATAAGGTATAACCCATGTTGGATCACTTTTTTTGAGCTTTTGCAATTCTTTAAGGAGATTTGATGCATCATTTTCAGGATCTTGCTCAGAATCTCTTGGATCTCCTTTTCGAAAATGTTGAATAGCATTAGCTAGATCCTTGTCTAAAAAAAGCTGATCTTTAAATTCACCAAAAAGAAGTTGTCTTAAAGTGTGTTGATCAATTCCATGAATTGTATTCACGTAAAATTCAATCTTATCCATAATATTTTGAGGAAATTGTCAATATATATTTGCAAACATAATAGTTTCAGGATTAAGTGTATGACCATAATGTGCGAGATTCATTTTAGTAATAGGTGGTCCTGGTGATTTAAGTGGCCAACACATATTAATAAAACAAGTACATTCTGTTTTAACTGATTGCCTATTTCGTTGGTTTGAAGGGTCAAAAATTTTTTTTTTGACTGAAACTTTCCAGCATGTTTACATTCAAATACATACTTATATACTCCCCCAATTTTATCAAGATATTTGTCTTGAATTCGCCATACAAAGCCAGTCTGTTGTCCATAAGTTAACAAGACCAAATTTGCATGATTCCAATGATCAAATTGCATTCCAACACATAATCTTGATGCTTGTTCAAAAGCAGTATCGGGTATATTGAGTGATTCAAGAAGGCTTCTTTTGGATATTCCACTGCGAGAAAGAAGTAATAATGATGATGTTTCAGACTGACTCATTTGGCAAATTATTGGTACAAGTTATGAGAAACAAGAATATTAAAAAAACAAGGAAAAAAACGCGAAAAATAAAATGAAGTCATGAAAAGTATTAAAAAACAAAGACAAAACGCGAAAAATTAAGGAAAGGATCACGTGTAAAAGCTTTAATGAAAAGAATATGAAAATAAAAAAATTGATCGGATTTTGATTATTTAACGATAATCATATAACAAATCACGTGATAGGCACGTGGGATGATGTTTAAGAAAATCATCAGGGATGATTTATATAAAAACTCTTATAAAAAGCATCTAATTTAAAAAATTTGAAAATAAATCAACTATATATTTTTTTTACAAATAAACAATATCTTTTGTATTATCCGCGCGTTTTAACTTAGGCAAAATTATTTTCCCTACCATCTTTTTAGCGTACATAGAAATTATATTTGAATATTTTGAATGGAATTAATCATGTTTGTTGGTAAAATATATATTAGGAAAGCTCATAAAAATAAATTCTGTCTGGCTTAAATTTGTAGAAATGCTTTGTTTAAGGAAAGTTTGGAACGGACATTGTCATATTATTGGTGCTCGAAAACTTTAATTTCAATCACTAATTTTAAATCATATCTTATATATATATACTCAGCTTCAAAGCATATTTACGTTTGAAACTGGTTCTAAAATTATAAATTTTACATTGAGAAAAAGAAATTACGAATGAATTAATAATTAATATTTACCTTCAAACGTAAGATCTTTATTTAAATCAGGTTTTGCTGTTTAAGAATATTTTAATGGATATAGTTTACATAATCATCATTAACCTCTGATTGGTACTCGAAATTTCATTACAATCATTAAAATAAAAAAAAAAACAATGAATTATATAGTATCCGAAGTTATATGATTTCTACTCTACAAACATATTTGCGTTTGAAACTAGTTCTAAGGGGTTTGAGAATCATTTAATGAATTATAGTATCTGGCGGGGAATGATTTTGATATTATATTTACCTTCATTCAAAATTGGATATTAATTTTCGTAACCTCCGAAACCGACTCTATCAAATTTGTTATTTTTTAAATATTTGTTATAGTTGCCTTACGAAACTCTCGGGTTCGACGGAGTCATTGGCAAAACTTATTGGAAAACCCGTCGAAACTCGAAACCATAATAAAATCCCGTCTAAAGTCGAAGTTATATTATATGCTTATTAACAAATCCGTCGTAATATAGGGTTTCGACTTTGCCATTTGCTAAAACGAGTTTTGTCAGGCAACTATAATATTTGTAAGAATTAACTTTTTTGTACTACCTTCATGGCCCGGTGATCTTTAAGCCTTTTTATCTCACTTTTTATCATTGTCGTTGGACATTTTAATAAATCTATTGTCGTCACTTTATGCGTGCGTGATGCATTAACATACATTTCCTCTTACTGTACTTGCATATTTTGAAATGAATCTGTCATTTATGTGCATCAAAAGGTGAGTCGGCGAAGCCAATAAAATTAATAATACAAACTTATTTTTTTTATCGTATTACCAAATCCGACGTTAGGATATTAACCTAGCCTTAGTTTATTACTGCGGAACAATTAATTAGGACAGGTCAAAGGACTGACTTACGGACCGGTCCGTTCCATAAGAGAGATGAAACCGGACCGGGTCGATCCAACTATAATTTCATAATATTTATTTTATAACTAGTAAGGTAACTTTGGCTTGACTCATTATATAATGCCAGCAGATTGTTGAAACTCGGAATACTTCAAATCAATAATAATTTTTTATTTAAATAAAAAGAATTGATGGAGTTATTTTCTTCGACTCAAAGATCTTGTGCGAGTTATGATAATATTATATTGACGTAATAATAGTTATGGCCGGCCAGAGGCCGGCCTTAAAATTTGAAAGTAACATATATGTTTTATTTAATTTTTATATATATTATCACTAAATTTACTGGTATACATATTGTATATATAAAGATTATGATGTTTCATTAATTGGAAGAGGTTGTAATGATTTAGAAAGTGTAAAAATGAACTTTGGGAGAGTAAATTGCTAGAAAAGAGGAATATTTAGTTCCAAGACTTCGAAACTAAATGCCTGCAAAAATTAATAACCAAATTTTATTTTATTTTAATTTTTTTTTATCAGCAGTAGTATGAACAAAAAGATTCGCCACCGCACCAGTGGAGATGATTCCGAAGAAAGAATAAGTGTAGAGCCATACTATCGTTAGAGAGATGTCAATAGTATATCTAGGATAGAAACATTGTTAAAAAATAAAAATAAATTTTTTATAACAAATCACTTTATACAATGGTAGATAACCAATATTGTAGCCTCCTGAAATAAATATTTTTGAATCATAAATTTGCAGGCATAAAGTTTTAAAAATATAATAAATAACTTGCATACCTAAATAGGCAACTTGTTGATTAGGTAACAAAACCGCACCATACCAGAACCTTGGAGATGGTGCATTAATTGAACTTCAATTTTTCAAATTTAGATTTGTCGTATCGAAAATTAGCATATCGTTAAGTCCCTTACCATTTAAAACGATATTACTGAATAAAAACATCTTCATTATTATTGATGACGCCTGTGATTTCATCTTTATTAATGTAGTCGCAAGTTATCTTTGAACGGTTCCACAAATTTTTTGTGGATCAAATATATATACGTCAGGTACATCTATTGACTACAGTAGCTTTTAAGATATTAGTGGAGTGCTCTCCATACAAATCAAATTTGTTTCATTTTATTTCTAGAGAATTAAAAGAGTAGACACGTCAATAGAAAAATTTAAATTCACCTACGAAATAAATAATTGTAACAACATGTAAATATTGTGGTAACATCTATATGGCGTCATTTGTCAATTTACTGCTAATAAAGCCATAATACAATATGAATTTAAGTATACTTGACATGTTTGGATTCTAATTAAAGAAATGAATTTAAAATTTCAAAACGTAGGATAATTGAAGTTTCCAGTTTATATTATTGCTGGACAAAAAAATTTGATGAAAATCATCATCTGACTTGATGTATCCGATCGAAAAATCATGTTTGAATTTTGAAAGATAAAATTTCCACATACAGATTTAAATATATTTAGTAATTTTATAGAATATATGATAGTTATTAAAGAAAAATTAAAACATACAATTATCCTATGAATTAAATTTTTTGAAATCAGAATAAAAAAAATTATGTCAAGCTGTGTAATAGCATTTTAACGATCCCACTTCTTTGAAAGGAGATTTCCAAAATATTAAAAAATATATAAAAAGTTGTTATGAAGTTCTTGAATGTATCAGAAATATTAAAAATTGATTACAAACATAATAATCATATGATCCGTAACGTAATTTAAATAGGAAAATTCACTCTGTTTTTTTCCAATTCTACTGCAAATATAAAATTTTATTTCGAACGCCTACATAAACATCTAGTGAACGCATACCCTAATATAGAGAAAAAGGCTGCGAATTTAAAGTTATTTTTATAGCTAAATTTGCTGCGTTATTGCAGTGATAATTCACCTGATTTTAAATTATTGTTAATGAAAATGAAAATCAACAAAGGCCTATTTTATATGTTTTATTTCATTTTCTTATATTTAGGTTTGATCAGTTTTCCCACTTTTGCTAAGAACTGGACAAATCCTTTAAATGAAACTGACCGGTTCATCACCACAGTGAAGGTAAGCGATCGTTGTTTTTCTTATTTTAAGTTTGATCAGTTCCTCCACTTTGGCTAAGAACTGAACGGAACCTTCGAACGGAACTGACCAGTTCATCACCGCAGTGAAGGTAAGCTAATTAAATAATTTCTTATTATTAAATTTTATTTTATTCTTATATGTTTTATATTAGTTCAGTGTCATTTCTACATCTCTTAGGCTAAAAATCGGACAGAATCTTCAAAAAGAATTGTCTGATTTGTCACTACAGCTAAGGTGAGCTGAATAATGTTTTTTGATTTATTTTTTTTTCTTATTTTGATAATGATTATTAAATTTATTTATTTTATCTTATTTATTTGTTTTAGGCAGTTTTAGATTGGATCGTCAGTGATTTTTTTTATTTTTTCTTAGGTTAGATCAGTTCATCTCTTTGGCCAAAATTATCAGATAAAACAGGATTTTCTTTATCACAGTATATGTTTTTGACGAATTCTTTCATTATTTTAATTATTAGTAATCGTAATCATTCAGTCCCAATATTTTTTTTAAAAAATCATATATAAACAACCGTTGTTCCTATTAATATTGATATTAATATTAAAATTAAAATTGATATTGATATTGATATTAAAATTTAAATTGAAATTGATATCAATATTTGATATCAATATAAATAAAAATAGCCCTATAGTTCCTGCATGAAGCTAACCAAATTTATACCTATTCCTTCCTTTTTGAGAACAATAATAACTTCTACTAGATAAAGTAGAATTACCTAAAATCAACATCTATATGGCATAAACTGTATATAGTGTTAACTTATAGCATCATCACAAATAAATTAATGTAATTTATAATAATGTGAACTTTAACTGTATAAACTATCAATACTTAGCAGTAAAATATTGAAACTGTATTTATAATACCATGCTTTAAAGAATTAATCTGACAATCTTAATTTTAAAAAGATTACATAATTATCATGGGATTTTGTTTTATTAAATGATATTCTTACTAACAAAATTTTGAATTCAAAACTGATCAAAATGATGTAATGAAACTACAGGGATAAAGTATTTACTATAATTGAACAGATCCTTTATTTTCAACTAAATAAATAATAACTTTGCTATTATCTTTTGTAAATGAAGGAAAATATCCATATTTTAATACGTCAGAATGAAAAATTACATCTTAAGAGCTTAGTAACCATTCTGTACTTTAAATTCCTGCAATCTTTTCATAATCAAAATTTTCTATTACACATACTTCATAATAAATTATAATGATCTGTTATAATTCTCAACTCA